ATGTATTAGTTAACTGTGGTTTTCTCACCATAGCTTTGAGCCATGTGCAGAGGGTGGGGGGCAGGCGGGCCAGCAGCTCCATGGCAGCTTGTGTCTGACTCTGGCTGTGGAGCAGTGAGTAGCTCAGCCTCTGACCAGTCAGCACCAAGAGCTGGGAGCCCAGCACATCCTTATCTTCTACTTCTAGCATCACCTGTGGGGGAGGATGGCAAACCACATGGAAGAAAAATGATCAAAAAGGTTTAACGAAAGTATTATCATCCAAATTTCAACCTCCGGCATGAAGACACCAAATGGGGTTTCATAATCTGTTAACAAATTCTACAAGGAAATGGCGCTTGTTACATTAAACTACACATTCCCTTTACCTCCTCAGCACGAAGGTCCAGGCCTTGGTTGTAGAGCTCACAGACAAGATGCCGTCGCAGGATGTCTGGGTTGACCTGCAGCAGGGAGCCCAGCTCCAGACACATTGAGGGCCACCAGTCCGCCTTGGGTCCAGTAGAAGGCAGAGGGGTGGACCCGGTAGCAGAGGCTGAGCTGGAAAAATCATCTATAGCCTGCACCCAGCCAGTCAGCACCCGAAGGAGGAACTGAGACAGAGTGAGGAAGGTGGGAAACAGATGAGGCGGCAGGTATGAAGCATCATGTTCTTCCTATCCTCTGCAGTTAAGTTCATCTCTCACCTCTTGTCGTAGTGAGACCAAGCCTGGGTCCATGTCTCCGCTGGGCATCAGCTGGATGGTAGTCAGATCTCTGAAGAAAGCATTCTTACCCTAGACACACACACACACACACACACACACACATACAAATATAGGCATAAATCATGTTTACAGGTATTGATGCTTTAACACTAAGCACAAAAATGTGTGTTATTGTTTGACATCTTGCTGGATTGTAGTGTGTGTATCCCAAAACCTGCTAGCAGTTTTAAAAGGCAGTTTATCTTCTAATCAATTACACAGGTATTTAAAACAAGTTCAAAACGTAAACAGTAAAATATCTATATTATGTAGAGTCACAGTTTTTTCCAGTGTTGGTAACACAGGAAGGCACTTGGAAAAATGTTGCACTTGTTATTTTCAAGTTTTGTAAAATAAAGTATCAAAGAAATTGAACTATTGTTTATTTCTTTTTTTATGATTAGAACTGTGCGATACTAAACAGAATATATTTTGGAGTTCTCTGTACTTCAGCTGTGGTTGTGCTGTTCCCACAGAGGTGCAGGACTTTACAGCGAAGTAAAACGAGCCCACAGTTAGTAGAAATGTGACAGGAGAAAAAATACACCCAGGTGAAAAGGAGCAGTTATTGGCAATACATGTTGAGTCATCGCCACTTTTTTTACGCATGGGTGGATATGAGTGGTTATACATTCACAGGCAATATGAGTACTTGTGCCTGTTTATGAGTCTGTCTCCGTACCTTGCTATCAAACAGGCTCAGTGGTTTCACCCTCAGACTGAAGGTCATGGCAGCATGAAGCAGGGAGGCTAACAGGCAGTGGTGTTGAACCAGAGGAAAGTGGACACCTCTTTGATCCAGGGCAAGTTCAGCTATAGATGCAGGGCCCTCGGCTCCACACCAAGCCTCCTCGACAGACAGCTCTGGAGCAGAAACCTCCTCCACTGCAGAGTCCGCCTGCATGAAGAAGTAATGAAGGAGATGGTGAGGAGGAGGGGTGGAGTGTTTCATATGCATGATAAGTACAGGTGTGCTTTAGTAATGGTAGCGCTGGTAGTAGTACTGGGAATTATTCCAACACATATGGTATTAATATGTAGTGTATTAGTGGCAATAGATGGAGTATTTGCAGCACCTTTCAAAGCAAACTACTACATCAACATCTTACTATAGAGCTTCCTCTTACAGCAGGCAATAAAACTAACACGCCTGCTGGTGCATTCTCAATAAAAAGCCTGAAATCCCATTGCAATGAGCTTATTCAACAACCTGTTCCTTTTAATGTCTGCAGCGTTTCACTGTCCATGCTTTGTGCTGGATTTATGCGAGGCACTGGTCATTCTCCATGCTTTGTTCGGCAATCTCGTTACTTACATAGTAATTAATAAAAGACAAAGGGCACTGATTCTTAACCAATACTCCAGTCACCTCCATGAGGATTTGCAGCAACTGGACACAGCAGCCCAGGAAAGACGTCATGGCTTTGTCTCCCATCCCGACATCCTGTAAGCAAATGCACGTGTCATCATATGTGGCTTAACACTGTCATGCCAATACTTTACAAGTGAAATAACCATACAATAAGTAGGAAATAAACCTGTCAAATAACAAACTAAAGTCAGATATTCTAATCTAGGGATGATGGTTTAAGAATTTGTAGTATAACACGAACTTACCCGTCGACATAAGCGATCTTTGGGTGCTTTCCCCACCTACAGAATTCATTGTAGAAATTTAATATAATGCCTCACCGACTCAAAATTGTACACAAAACTGCTGTGTTCTGTGTGAGCGTGATTTACCTTCTCCATGAGGAAGGCTGCTGCTGAGAAACGCTTGACAATAAATGTGCTCCACATCATCGTGGAAATGCCTGTGACAATTCAAAAACTCCAATCACACACTTATAACCGTCACTTAAAGGAGGTACGGATTTACAAAGTGGAGACGCTGACATGAGAACAGTGCTTATCAGCTAGTGTTTTATGTAACCTAAAGAAAATCACACCACTTCTTCCATGTCATAGAAACTTATTATTGACCAAATTAAACATATGCAAGTGTGAACCACTGACCCAGCTGAATATGAGGACTGGAGATCAGCTTCAAATGTTCTACAGCCCAGCACAAGTATCGACCCTCCTACGAAGAAAAGCAGATGTGGCTTCTGATTAAAGAAAAGAAGTCATGAGTTCTGTTTCATCCATGGTCTTTGCACTTATGAAAACCTCCCTTTACTCTTTAGCAAAACAGAATTGTTGCAGCAACTAGTGATAATATACACAAATTAACAGAAATAAGAGCAAATCACTTTGTTCATATATCTGTATGTTAGTTCTTATAAATGTGTATATGTGTGTCTGTCTGTGCACCTCTGGGTCTTTGTTCCACTGCACCACATACTCCCAGCAGCAGTGAGCAAAGAGCAGGTCAGGTGAGAGGGAGTGTGGGAACCGCTGGCACACTGCCACCAACAGCTCTGGTAAAAAAAAAAAAAAACAGAGGACAGTGATGCGGACTGGAGGTCAAGGAACAAACAGGTTCAGTGAAATAATGTGACCCGTAGCAGTCAATACGCTGCTCAAGGAATGCTACATACATCTACAGAGGTTACTGACAAGACTGGCAGGTAAAGTTCTTTAATGTAACAGCCAATTTGTAAATTAATACACAAATTTACACATGTTAAATATAACTTTATTGATGTTTCTTAATCCTCACCCGCTGTCCCGTCTGTGTCTTCTTGGTGCTTCTCCTCATTTCCTTGTCCCCTTTCTTTATGATCCAGTTTGTCATCTGCGTCTTTATTTTCTCTCTTCTGGAGAATTTCCTTCAGTCGCTCAGGAGCCATGCTTTGCCTGAACACCCACTTGGAGACACTGTCTGCAATCCCACCTTAAGAGACAGAAAACAAAAACAATAAAGTGACACTGACAAAGTCTTGAGGGTTGTAGCCTGGAGTGACCTTAGAGAAGACAGAAAGATGTTAACAGAAAGATGACAACACAAGAAGGCAGTGGAGACATACAAATCATTCAGTGAAAAAGTGAAAAGCAAGAAAGTGAGACAAAGTCAGACGGCATGAAATCTACCTGAGCATGTTCTTATTTGCAGCCTACCTGTGCCTCCCTCCAGCAGTGTTTTGATGGAGCACTGAGCTGCAGCGCCTCCTGCTGCTCCCTGATGAGGAGGCACCAACAGCAACGTCTGCAGCACCAGTACATCCTCCAGCTGGCGGACACACACCAGCCACTGCTCCAGCTCCAATGACACCGCCTCCCACTCTGACTGCAGCTGTCACACACACACAAAACAGACCAAGCCTGTAAGCGTTTGTATTGGTTGACAGTATTATAAGTAGCAGTGGGAAACACAGACTACATGGTTGTCTTCCTATTTTTGCCTGACGGCAGCATGTATGTTAAGCTTCTAACCTTGCTGTCAGCCCGGCTCGTGATGCTAGCCTTCGCAGCACGGTGAGCAACTAGGGCAGCTAGCAGACCAGCGGCAGCATTGTGGGACTGGATGCATGTACAGCGAACTTGCTGCCACCAAGGCGAGATGGACTGTGTGTCCCATGACTCCTCAACTGCACCTAAAGAGAGGAAGAAACAACTTGTAGGCTTTGGTCCACAGCATCGGTCTTAAGTGACACCAGTTGCTCAGGATGTGCAGTATCAATCGCCTGTCAGACCACAAAGATGTGGCATACGTCCAGCCATGTCATTTAAGACTTTAGCATAAGATACTCCTGAGTTTCTTTACTTTAAGCTCCTCCTGAAGCCTCCTCTGTTCTTGCCTCTTCAAGGATTATTTAACCCTTTCAACACTAAGTAACTTTGCTTGAAATTCATAATCAGATGTGGTTTTGATTAATCACTCATAAATTCTTAAGTAGAGGGAGGAGATGAGGAAGCATCAGGTATCATAAGTAAAAGCAACTCTTGTCTCATTCTTTTTTCTACTAACTTTTCTTGATGGAGATGATTTGTAACCAAAAAACCTCTAAAACTTGATGTGCCCTCCATCAAAAACACACACATAAAAAGGCGAGCACACATTACACCAGAATACATACCTTCCATGTTACTAAGGGCAACAAGTAGTGTGTGTAGGTTTCTAACCATTTCCACTGGTTTCTGTAGCACCTCCTTCTCCCTTTGCAACCACACACTCAGCAACAAAGACTGACGGAAAGAGAAAACAGAAAGCGATACTGAAATTCCCATAAATTTCTGATCACGAGATAATAAAAACTGCATGTCATCATTCAATTCTTCTGGACACTTTCAGCCATTAGCCATGACCGACTCCAGCAGCAAAACAATCAACTCATTCAATCTGTCAGTATTTTCCTGCATCTTACCAGGAGCTGCTGTGGACTGATGCCAGCCTGCTGTAGTGTGTCACAGACTTTATGGCGGGGGCTTTTTCCACACAGACAACCCCAGAACAAAAAGTTTCCTGCAAAGGACAAACAAGATCAAAGTCCTCAGTCTGGATTTGTGCCATGCTCTCACTCGGTCGGGTGCCATTGATATTTCTGAATATGAAAGGTTCATTTGTGTTTCTTTAATCCTAAATAACCGCCCTTGTGGCTTGCAAAAATTCTTCCTGTGCTATTGTTACACCTGCCCTTTAGTTAGATACATTTACACCATGCGTCTGGAACAGAGTGGATCACATGTGCACTTGAAGAACTGTGGCAGTCTGCCCAACGGTGACAAATGTTGTAATCAGTATACATCATGATCTGAGATGAGTTTGAGAGGAAGCTGGTGCATCTTTACATCAGCATAACAAGAAAAACAGATCAGAAATGGAGTGAGATAGACACTACCTGCATCTCATGGTTAAATCTACACTCTTGGTACTTAGTTATCAAAAATAATTTGACAGAGACACACTGACATTTACAAAATGCTACTCATTATGTAATACATTTGGGATTTTTATGGAAAAGTTGAGGTAATAGGTAAGGTGAAAGCAGAAATGTGCATACATATGTTGTCATACCTAGCTGGTTCCATTCAGTTTCAGACCCCCGAATCACTTTCAACTCCCCGTCCTCTGTGCACTCCATCTGAGAGAGAAAAGTTTGGGCAGGTAGGGGGGAGTCGGGTGAATCCTGGGCAAAGGAAACGCTGGGTCTTGAGGTGAGCTGAGCATAGTGCTGCAAGGTTGGCCCAATACGGGACAATTCATCTTCGATGCCTTCAAGGGAGTCCTGTTGGGTGGGGAGAAAATAAAAACTGGAGCACAACTGCATCTTTAAGAATTAAGAGGAATAACAGTGAGGTTTTAGTTGACCACATATAAGGACAGTCTGTATTTGTGTATTTATGTGTGTGTCTGTGTCTCACGTTTTCAGTGTCGGCCTCAACATTTGCTGCAGAGTGCAGCTGCTGGACGTCAGAATACAGTTGAAGCAACTTCAGCTGTGAAGAGCAGAGCTGGAGTAATGCAGTATCCACCTCCTCAGGGTCTGTGGTGCAGAAAAAAAACAACACAGAAATGTGAAGAGAAAAACTGATGGCGTATTTATGATAGGTACTCAATGTATGAAGCAAGAACTCTCTCTTGAACCACAGTTTTAAATTGACCTTATACTTTAAGCATTAAACATTGAGCAAATAATTGCTCTTGGCACTTTAATTTTAGAAACAAATATAGGAAAACAATCTCAAGATTTTTTTAAACTAATAGCCTTATACTTTACCTTTTTGCTTTAAGGTGTCATGTAAGGCACATGTGATGTTAGTAAGACAAGAGACAGGAGCATTCTTATTTGATAGCAGAGACTCCAAAGCCTGAAAGGAAACACAGACACTGGAGTTTGAATTTTGACTGCAAAACACACTGTGCACATCAATTAGTGTGTGGAGGGGGCTTCAGTACTGATCTGAGTTCATACCTGCTTCTTAATGGCAGGGTGTTTGATATCCAGCAGAATACTTCTGGCTTCACTCTCCAAAATATCTAAAAAGAAACAATGTGGAATGAACATACATTGAAACCTCATTTATCTCAACCACTTGCTTCCACGTGTTCAATCAGCTTTTACTCTTTTCTTTACTCTTGTATCACTTACCAGGCTCCCCATCTCTGCTCTTTAGGAGAGTAGTCAGTCTCTTCACCAGGTGCATATCTTTGGCTTGCTCGCTCTTCTTGTCACTGAAATGAGGAAGATATGGAAAGATGGCGTTAGAGTGGATTTCTAACAGCCTTAATGTTATGTCATGCTGTCATACAGAATGATGTCGATAAAGTACTGCAGCCTAACATTTGTGCTTAAAAATTATTTTTAAAAATATGATAACGCTATGAAGAATTTTGAAGTTGAGGTTGAGAACCTTTCCTGTTACAGTAAATAACAGTTTCAGGTGCCATATATTTCTTTCTATTAGCATGTATTAGCATAATCTCATGAATGGATTCTGTTGCTGTCTGATGCTCCAACTATTTATTTGACTCAGAGGAAAGACTCCTACAAACAGCTGGAAGCAACAAACTACACGTCAGTTCCTGTTGAGGTTTTGTCAAAATCTGTATCACATTTATTTTTGGTAAGTCTTATTAATTTGACCTGTTACAGTCCATTTTCATCACAGTAAGGTTTCATTTTATGGACATTTTGGTTTGTAATAGATGGCAAAGTGAGTGAAGCAAAACTCAACTTACACCACCAGTGTTTTGCGATTTTAGCACACCTGCTCTCTTTAGAGCATTCTGTGATGTTCTTGTTTTGAAATGTGGAAAAAGCCTTCCCCAAAACCTTCACACACCTTGACGTGTATTGTAAGTTTGTGTACGTCTATCTCATAATGCATCTGTGTGCAGATCAAACTTGTACCATGCTAAAGATAACACGTAAATGTTACTAGGTCCAAAGTAATAAGACTGCCGTCATAACTTCTATGGAAAGGTGACCAAATGGTCATTCAGACATGAAGCGGACACATTTAAATGCCATCAGATTATGGAGTGCATGTCTGAAAAAGGCACTAAAGGAAACCCTAACTCAAGTGTTATGGGTATTCATACTAAAATACCTAAATGATCCAGATCTACGGTGTCTTTCTGTTTGTACACCAACCTGAGGGCCAGGTGGAAGGGGACGTTCACCGTCCTCAGTGCTCCCGTGGACGGATCCATCAGACAAACCTGCTGGGTGTGGAGCTGCCAGCCCTGACTGGTCACACTGTTGACGCCCATTAGACGGTAGCCAGCATACAGCAACCTGGAAGAGCAGGCACACGTAAACACACAACAACTCACATAATATGTTACGTAGAATTTTTTGTACACTATTCCCCAACCTTTCCACATCTGACTGCATGTGCTGTTTTGTCTTTGATGCCAAGCTACAGCAAGAAAAACGAGCAAGCTTTATTGTGCATACCTGCAGTGCTTCCCCACAGTGAAAGCACCAACTCGAGGCCCCTGCTGCATCGCCCACACCTCCAGGATTCCCCTCCGGGGGGCATAGATGACTAAGAACAGAGCATGGCGTCGGGGGAGGGAAGCAGAGGGGGAGAATTCACGATCACCGCGCTCTTCTGGAACCTGCAACCAACCCAGCTGGGCGTCCCTGTAACCTGGAGTCGAGGTAAATTGATGATATACATACAGATTATATAACGACATATATTCACAAAAATTAGCATGTGATAGCTCAATAGTTTGTGCTCTTCAGCCTTTTGAGTACATCTGGTATGTTTCAATTTTCACTCAAATTTGAGATAAATTTTGAGACATGAGAACAGAGCAATGGATTTCTACATTCTCAGAATAGCTCGTGGTATCTATTAAATTCCTTACAAAGACTTATTTTTACAAAACCTATATATCATTTATTCCCCTTCTCTCTGTCCTTTCCTCTCACCTTTCCACATGCGGATGGCAATGCCCCTGGCCAAGTCCAGCAGTGTAACTCGACCAAAGTCATCCGTCACTCCAGCCAGCGTGTTGCACGGGGACAGACATATAGACTCGCCATGGCGCCGGGAGTCTGGGAGACCGAATCTGGAAGAGAGTGGTCAGGTTTAAGGACAGGGGAAGGACACGAACAAACTTTAGCTTCCAGTATCAATATGGTGCAGTCATGGATTGCTGTATTCGTACTGAGAGATGATGCTGGTACCTGATCCCTAAAGGAGTAGCAGGCTCCACCTTGGGCTTCTGTTTTTGAACAACCTCCTCTTCAGTCTTGTTCTTGTTCCATCCTAACCACCCACTGAGAGGAAAACATTGACAGAAACAATGAAAAAAGACAGAAAAAGTGAGAAAGATACAAATAAGATGTGACCCAAGAGTGAGAAGGAAAAAAGAAGCGGTACATTAGAAAGACAGTGAAAGATTGCTTAAAGCAGTATGAAACAGACGATCTCCCAGCATGGATAAAGTTGTCATTGAACAGACAACAAACTGTAATTTAGAGTATTGATTGTGCTGCTTCGTGCTGTTGCAGCAATAGAGGATAGTCAACAGAGCATTTCTCAAGTGTGTGGGTCTGAAAGGGTATTAAATGTGTATGTGGGCACAAAGTGGACAACCCATTTGTCTTTTAAACAACACCCTACACAAATTGAGCTGTGATGGTTAGCTTTGTCGCATTCCATGGCTACAATTACTCATTCCCCCAACCTTTTTTCTTTTGATACTGTTGGCTATAATGGCGTCATTATTATCTTTACACAGTGTGCTTTGCAGACTCACATGCACACAAACAACAACACACCTGGCAGCACTGAAGAGGGCTGAAGTGAGCTTACTGGCCACAGCCAAAGCCACATGGGACAGAAGAGGCTGGGAGCTTCCCTGGAAACAAAACATAATGAAAAGCAAAATTTACTGTGAAAAATGCATTCTTATGCAAACTCTAGTCTCTGTTTTATGCCCTGTAAGTCATCTGTGTAGGTAATCCTTCCATTTTCTATACACCATTTTATCCTCTGTAGATAGGATCATCCTATCCCAGCTGTGCAGGTAACGCTGACCATAAATGCACTAATACGCTGCTTTTACAGTTATTCAAAGTAGGAAATAAAGAGCCTGACTTGCTCCATCTCTCTTGCACACACTCACCTCTACAGCATAGTAAAAGCCTGTGTATGGCCCAGCTCCCACAGTGACATACTGGCTCATGGCAGGGGGACTGCCCTTGACTGAAGCATTGAACCCCCCCAGGATGGATGCGTTCTTCATTTGGTCAAACACACACAGCGTCATAATGCCTAACAGCAGGAGAGATAAGTGGAATGAAATCAGTTCATCACTAATATAAATGTTAAATCAGAGAATAATTCTGATTTTTTTGCATTTTCTTCATTATAATTCATAGAGTTATATATTATACAGAGAAAATCATTTGCTGCTAAAAAAAATTGTCAGTACGTTACATCTGTGATGAAAAATGCTGCAAATACTACTTAAGAGTTACCCCGTATTACTTTAACCTTGCAACATAGCAGAAGGTCAAAAGGTAGGTAAGTGACAACCCTCAGTCCAGCCATCATAATCAATTAATAAATCTGAAACTGTCTCTTACCCACACTGCTGTGGTCCACAATGGTGTCCATGTCCTGCAAGCCCCACTTCTTATAGGCCAGGGGAGGAGGCTGAACCACATCACTACCTGCTGCTGCAGCTGAATGGAAGGAGAGGCTGATTATGTAACGCAAAATAAGAAACGTCAAGCAAAGAGACTATTTATGACAAGGAAATTCATTCCTTGTTGGTTGCCTTTAGCTAGCATGGTAGACAGGCCTTACAAGTAGCTCCATTTAAAACTGTAGCATCACATCTTAATAGTAACAAGGATTGCCTTAGGGCACACAGCATATTCATAGACCAGCAGCAGTAGCAGCACACAAACTCACAGAGCACTACAAGATGTTCAAATGCTGCTGCGGCTTAGCTACGAACCTCTAAAGGCCATATACAGTACGTCTGTGCATGTGTGTGAGGCTGTAGTACAGAATAGGTGTGTGTCTGTCTTCTTAGTACCTGAATGCTTTGTTGCAAACACTATCCAAACCAGCCAGCAAATGAAAAACAACAATACTCCAACATTTAAGACCAGAAAATATTACTGTCGCGCTCTTCCTCAGATATACACATACAGATAAACACACATACCAACATAATTTCATGCTGCTTCATACAAAAACATGTGTGGAAGCGTAGTACCTCTTGCCACTTGGTTTCTGCAGGCACGTAGAGACTGAAAGAGACTGAAGCCATCTATAGTGACCATAGCACCAGGGTAGAGGATGCTCAGCTCCTCATGCTGTAGCAGAAGGAAACCAGTAGTTAAAGGTTTGCTCCACAGGTGAGTGTTCTGCAGGTCAAGGATTAACCTCAACACTAATCGCACAGTTAAAGGAATTGTTTGGTTCTTTGACAAATAATACACTTCTTCTGAACAAGAAAGCCAATTAGCATGTTTTTAAAATGTCAAACTATTACTTCAACTATGCAAGTGTGTGCAGTACCTGCTCGGTTACTCCAGGATGACGAGGGATCTCATATGTCCGACACTTGAGCCTCAACACAGGGTCCTCATGCAGCAGCTGGGCCAGGAGCAGAACTCCGCTCTGGTGAGACATAATTAATGTATCATGAAATACGGTCATTCCTACTCGCAGACTGTACTGGATGGTTTTAATTCTGATGAAGAAGTAATCTGTTGCAGAAGATCAAAGCACAGATAAAGCAGGGAAATCATAGAATATGGATGTACCTCCGTGTAGAAGCGGACATAGCCAGATGTGAAACCCACTACTACACATGTCCAGTCAGGCCGCCCAGTGGAGCTCCTAAACAAACAGAAAAAGAAACATTAGGACATGTGCACATACACATTTTGCTCCTCCTTGTTTATTTCATACAAACGTAACTCTTACCTCTTCTGGCTTGCCAAGGGGACACAGATGGCGCTGCTCACACACTCTCTGGAAAAAAAAAAAAAACACAAAGTAGAACTCAATGTCTGTGAGTTCAAGTGGTCTCACTCATGCAGTATCTCACATGTTGCTTCTCCACTGTAGTCACTAGACCTGTATATGTCCTACATAGTTTACTGTCACCCTAAAATTCTTATTTTGAAGTTGGCTTTTATCTCCCATTATGTTGTCATCCTTTATCATTTGTTCCTAGAAATAGTACTATGCAGAAGATGTTTAAGTTCTTATTTATCCCAAAATCCCAAATTTATTATGCAGCATGGGAACAACACTGACAATAAAGTCATAGCCAACAATGCATTTTTCCTCCCTTCTCTATTAGGGTTTTTTTTCTTTTTTGGTTCCTTCCCGCTGTTGCCGACCACTTGCTCAGATGGAGTCAAAAGGCATCTTTGGATTGGTGAGTTCAAATTCAAAAGGTCTTCACCTTACTATATTATAAGCGCTATGAGATGACATATGTTGTGAACTGTGCTACATAAATAAAATTGAATTGAACTAAATTAAATAAAGAACTATCTTCAGTTACCAAGTACCAGTATTCAATAAGAACAAGGTGTGCTGCAACAGATGGCATGCCCATGACATAGTACTGGTCTGAACACAATGAAATCAGTCTGGGATTGCAGAAAGAGACAGACAACACTGATACTTCCTTAATCCAGTTGCCTTAAGTTCATAAAAACCTGTCTTTCAAATTTTTTTGACACACTAAGCCTAAGTGTGTCCAGGGGGAATTAGTGCTGTTTTAAAGGCAAAGTATGGTCACCAAAAGATTTCGGCTTTTTTCTGCCAAGTGCATTTCATATGAAAGCATTCATATTGGAAAGCATCCCTAATTTGGTTTTAGTACCTTAAAATTCTTAAAACTCTTCTGCTGTATTTTTAGCACTTTCACTTCTTCTCACATTAGCATAATGTTTCTCACCCTTCTTCGGAGCTGAGGGTTCCAGACCAAGACACAGCCAGAGTCATCTCCTCTCTGCCACTGTCATCCGTACGCCATTTAGCTGTAAAAATTAAATAAAACATTAATAGAAATACAGGACTCATCTGACACAAAGGCTAGTGTGTCTGAATATCACACCTGAGAGAAAGGCCGCCCTGTGTTCACGCGCCACAACTAGCAGGTCGGAGCAGGGCGACAGAGACACAACACAGTCCTGCAGCCAAGGTTCTTTCTGTCCAGTGGTCTCCTCCTCCACCTGCAGGGCAAAGAGGAAAGTGAAAGTGATCAATTTTGAACAGTGAGGAAAGCTATTTGTGGCTTTTGTTTTTTACAGTTTCTTCAAGTTTTTTTTTCCTGTCACATATCAATTCCTCTGTGCTTCAGCTAACCCTGGATGTTCGACACCAAACATACCTGCTGTTAAATATACTAGAAGAAAGATGGGAATATGAGTATACCATACTAGTATATAGAATACTTAAAAAGGAATACAAAAAATGACAGACCGTTGTGGCAGAAGTGGAATCCCCCATTTTGTTATTGTCCATCGATTCTCCCTCTTTGTTTTCACCACTATCCCATGCCGACTCCCAGTCAGAGGTGTCCCAAGACAGCTCATTATCTGTTAGGGAAGAGAAGACCAAGCAGAAACATGTTTTTAGTCAGGAAAGTCAGGCAGACAGAAGTGCTTGTGCAGTGGATGGAACTAAATGATCCATTTCTCTGTTGTTTCACGTTGTTTAAGTCTTGGTTTCCTGCAGATCATATCACTACATGAAGGAAATAACTGGCTGTATTATAGGTTAGGTGATGGAATATGACCAGGCACCTGTTGAATGATTATTTACATTGCTGGTTAAGACCAAAGCAACTAATTTAACCATTTTGGTGGGGTGCTCAGCTATGGGTTGAACTCAGAACAGTTTGGTGAAGCCGGCTGATTAAAGTGATAAATTAACACAGAAAAGCAAACGTCATCCTACCAAACCACAAATACTAAAGGAGAGAGGACAAGAGGGAAATAGCTGAAGAAGGTTGTTCTATGGGGAAATAACCTAAAAATATTCAAGAGTGGGTGGAAGACATAGTGACAGAGCAAGTACGAAATCCAGGACGAAATCCCGTTGCCATGGACATTTATAATGCATTGTGCCTTGGTGCAGTGTGTGGGGCAGTCAATGTCACTGCGCTAAAAAACTGAGGTGACAACATATCTTCTGTGCACATGTATCAATATGAAATAACGACTTAAGTGTGTGAAGCTTGAGTGCAACAAGTGCAGGCGCTATTCTGCATTTGTGCAGGTGTAAGTCTTCTCTTTTGTTCGGTGTTCTGCAGTGAGGTGTTCAGGTGTCTCATGCGGGATGACTCATAGCCAAAAGGGCAGACAGATTCCTCCTCCTCCTCCTCCTCCTCCCCTCTCTGTGCTCTGCTAGTGTTGCAGAGCACAGATCAAGCTCTATCCATCATGCACTGTACAAAGACTTAGCTGGTAAAAACACGATATACTAACACTGACGTAATTAAGGTAAAACGCTGATATACGGTATTCAACAGAAATGACAACACTTCTGTTTGCACAGCTTTTTTTCCCCATTCTGGCCAAGTACGATCTTGCAATTTAGTGACCAAGAGCAAGCAAGAGTATTTTTTTTGTCTTGGATGCCATCTGTTAAGGTTTATGCTGTACGCTGTCCTTTATAGACAGAGAAACTTACATTTCCACTGATAACCCCATTGCTGAGTCTGAAGCATTGCCTGTCGGTTTTTCACAAGAAAAGTGTGAATGCAGCATACCGGCTATGGCCACTGTCATTCTGATGACAGTGATTCTATGGGTCATCCTATACCTCCTGATTACTGCTGCACCTGAGCTTTTACTGATTTCTAATTGGTCACTGATCCCTTCTGATTCCTGTATCCCTTTTCATCCTTGAAAAATACAAATATTCTTATATTCTTCTGGCTTATATAGCACATACATGGAGTTATTAAAAATCACAGGTGTACTCACTTTATTTCCAATACATTTAAGGTTTTCTAACTTGTGTTGTCAGTGGTCACAGGTGTAATCACTTCAGTTCTACTGAGTGTCAATTTTGAGGATTGCATTTTCAGTATAGTCTTTGGAATTCATTTGTTTTTGATTGTTCATAAGAGGAAATGAGGTGAAGCAATGTGAAATTATTTGACATTAAAATGACTTAGCACATTTCTAAGCTACTAAGTTGCATTTTAATAGGTTATGTTTAAGATGCACTTTGTGTATATTGCACAGCATCTGAGCAGATCACTGGCTGGACAACCGCTGTGCATTAAGAGTGTGGTGACTCACTGTACATAACAATATTTACTTTCCTCAGTTGGTAACCTAAAATATAAATAAGAAGAAAAAATAACTTTCCAACTAGTATGCAACCTTTCTACAACATTACAGACCTGAGGTTAGTGAGCCACTGCCTTGTTTTCCTTGGTGCTATCAGTAGCTAGTTCCAGAGGTAGCTCACTGCTCTGTTAACAGTTATATGCTGTAGCATGCTACACACTCCTGCATTTAACACTACTAACGGTACCTGTTTGATTCTTCTCCTGAGCTGGCTCGGTTTTCTGGCTCTGGAACAAGAAGTCCCGGACCGTTTTGAGCTCCTGGAGCCGACAAAACTCCAACAAGCTGCAGGACATCCCTCTCCCGTCCAGTCAGGACCCAACAAGACACGGAATCAGCCAGCTAGCCCTCTTGCTAGCAGTGGAAGATCAACGTAGCTTAGCAGTTTAAGTCTGTCTCAGTGCTACTATCGTGCTAACTTTATGACAGCCTATCCACGAACACAATGTTTCGTATTTGTCTTAAACGGTCCCCTAAAAAAACAAAAATAACTAGTTGCTACTCTTCTTTTCCCCCAAAATGTGCAGTTCCCACCCAGATCCTGATGTGTTCATGACACATCGTTAGCATAATAACACTGCTGTGCTTCCGGGGTCGAGCTACTTCCAGCATTTCAAAATAAAAGCAAAACCTTTTAAATACATTTTCAACAAATGTATGAAAAGTAAAAGTAAAAATTAGTTATTACATTTTTGGTCAGAGAAAAATATGTACACAATATAAATGCAAAACTGCTAGAAATTTGAAAAATTAAACAAAAAAAGGTAAAAAGAATGCAGATATATAAGTGCATGTTAGACATTTGAAGGCTTTTACATGTCAAAATCTAGTGACATTGATTTGTCTCCATACAAGACATCCTCACTCTGATGTGTACCTATCAGTAATATGTAATAACAATTCAATCAATAGAACTGTGCGTTTTGTTACAACAATTCAAACTTAGATTTTGTTTTTAATGCTGTGAAACATATTTTGAGATATTTAGAGACAGAGAGAGAGAGAGAGATACTAATTGCCATATTTTAGTTATTCTCTTGTTCTTATTTTTTCCCCCACCTAATATATGTAACCTGATATTCTTGCTAATAAAGCACATTGAGTTATTGTGAGTCTGTGAATTGCTGTTTATGATTCTCCAAAAGCTTTCCTTAAATAAAATCCAGGAATCTAAATCTTTTCCAGGTCAAAAAGCCACATGATGATGTACAAAGATATAGTTGGTTATTCATGTGCATGCAACTTCATGGGACGTTTGCATTTTTCACTTCTGTACCAAAATGTTAGCAAATATTATAATTCAGCACAAATGATTGTTTTGTGGTAAACTCATTGCGTATGGCATACAAATAACTGAACAAAAAAACAACTGAAAACAGACAAATCAGAAGAACTGATTTACAGAGAAAATGTTACTTCTGCTTTTTAAGCTTTTTCTGGCATGCTACCTTTCAGGAGCTCATAAAAGTCAACCCTCACCCTACATTTTCTTTTATGAATAATTGACAATATTGGGTTAGCTAATAGGAAAGGATCCAAGTTTAATTTTCTTAAACTCAAGGTCACCACGATTGCATCAAGAAACTCTTCTTTGTTTCATTCCTCTTCATTAGTCATACTAATATCCATTCAACTTATTTTCTTTTCTTCTGGTTATCTACAAACTCCCCTGTAGTGGCTGTGTAACCCTCTAAGGCAGGCTGTCCCCCGATTTGAGAAAAACTGTCATAGACAAAATGTTTCCACAACCTCACAGTTTGTAGCACTCCATGACTTATAGCTGAATCATAATTAGTGATGCATGACATTTGTTTCAGTGACATATGATTAATCAGTTGTTTTTTTTTTTACTTGTATAAAATCAATAATTTAAACTTTTAAATATATAAAATGAAGATGGGAATGTTTTGAAAGTTTTAATCCACAATCCACTTCTTCTGTAGATGTGCTGGAGAGATATTTCTGATGTGTTATAAATATTCCATCTGCCATCTTAGATGATGGCAAACATGTGCTTATTTGTCATTGTGTGACTTCTTATGCTATTTTAAAGTACTGTCCATGTAAATGTAACCTTTGAACCAACACTGTGCTTGAAAAAGTGCATTGGTTTGTTTTGTTTATTCCACCAGAGGGCAGTAGAGGAATATTTTTTTTAGGTAGTTTGTGGTTCGTGTGCTGCTTCTTAATCCAGACTGCCTACTTTTTTTGAACCCAAATGCTCAGTTTAGGTTTATTGTAGTCGCACCAGAACATCATGATATATTTTTACATTATAGTCTGTTGAGGTTTTCAGAGGGCCTGTAAACTCATATTTATGTCCACGCTGGCAGGATAAACTACACAACCTGCATTCTTGTAACTGCTCTGGTTAAGATTTGGGAAAAACGAGACAGTTTCCTGAAGTCAAATCTTAATAAAAAGTATTTTTATGTATTGCTATATTGTATTAGAGATACATTGCATGAAGGTACTCTGTTGATGATGGTTAGTGCAGAGGAAATAATTCAAGTTCTTTCTTAAAAAAACAAAGCAACTGAACGCATGAGTAATAATGCTATGAAAGTCAGCACTGCTAGGACTTTTATTTAGAGGCTTATGCACTCTATCTGCAAAGCTTTAGCTACGTCACTATCGCTGGTGTTCAAAGAAAGTGTATCGCCTGTAAAAATTGTAATTGTCGTCCAACTAGCTAAACTGTTTGGTGACATTTCTTACAGACTGTATCAGATAAGACTGACACGTGTAACTGATGACGCAACGTTGCATTCGTTGTTATTTTGAGCTGTATCAACACGCTCGGTCAGACTTGAAGTCATTCCTTGCTTGTGTCAGGAGCCTGCCGTGTGAACTTTTCTATCTAAAATGAGAAACTGAATCAACTTGAGGCCTTCTGATAACATTTCAGCCATGTTTACCAAAACTAGGATGCAAATGCTTATTTTAGGTACTGTGAAATTATAGCTCACTTTGCCTAAACGATTAATAAATATATTTTCTGTATGCTTCTATTTGTGATTGTATTGATTAATGTAACATAGCACAGTTAAAGTAAGAAGAAGTAAGAACTGGGATTCCAATGAGTTGCACTTTCTTTGAACACCAGTCTACACCCATGAGTTGCTTTCTGTTTCTGTTCTCCTGGACTTGGACACCGTTTTGGGTTGTCGTTGCTTGTTAAATGGTTATTTAAAGCTACTTTTCATCAACTTGGCTGTGAAAATCAAGGCAATGAGATCCTACTTGCTAGCTAAAGAGGTTCTTTCAACAGGTATGTCTGAAACTGTCCTGTTGCTCTACATTGATGATCCACTAGAGTGCTTAACTTGAACATGTTCTTTGTACATGTCAGGACAATCAGCTCTTTCAAAGTGGTTTGGTGACTCTGACTATCATGTTGGTGGGCTGTTGTTAGGTCAAAGGTCAAAGTTACTACGTTCCTTCCTGGGAACATAATGCCTTTAGTCAACATGAGCAGCTGTAAGTGGCATTGTTGAGCACTGCTCTATGTCTTTCTTTCCCATCCTTTTCTACGTGTTCTTTAAAAAGCATTGGGCAACCTGCCAGCGGACTTGCGTTTCCATTAACAATCCCACATCGGCCTCAGTACAGTGCAAGTACACATGAACACACAAACACACACTCACCTCTGGGGGGTGCCCAAAAGTTTCCGGTCCGGAAGGCTGGACACAGAAACTCAGGAAATAATTGAGTGTCAGAGAGGTCCTTGGGCTCGTCACATTTCCCCATCCTGGACCACTGCTTATTGAACTGTTGTTACGCTGGCCATTTTACAGGCAACAGAAACAACTCTCCATCTGGTTCCCCCTCTTCCTTTGTTGACAAGAAAGTGAGCTGGCATCGTTGTGTCTCAGGATGAGACGTGCTGTTGATATACAAAGATAGATGGCATTGACTTATCCACACACACTAAGAGTTAGTCACTCTCAGAAGACCTTGAGCTTTGTTTAGAAGGTTTTATGACGAAGATGTCATATGGGCATATGGTGCCTTGAGATTTATATTGCGGAAGTAAAATAAATCTGATTAAGAAGATACAGTATAAATACCATGAATAACACAAGACATATTGTAATATTGTATGGTTTAGTTCCTGTATATTCTGTAGATGTTTGCCAACCAGTCTTGAATGGGGCCCTGCTGTAATCTCTTCACAAGTACACTCTATGTCCAGGAAACACAAACTTTGAAGGAAGTAGCGCAGTGTGAAAGACGAAGGCCGTCATGCCGGCTGGTGTCAGGACCCCTTGCATAATCTGACCTTCTAAATGAATAGTATAGCAGTCTGACAAGCCTGCAGGCCACTGGAAATGCAATAATGGACCTTATTTCCTGTGCTTTTTACAAACCCAGACAACAGATAGAACATTTAAAGTAACTAAATTCATACAAGCAAAAACTTCAACTTCATTTTTAACTATTCTTACATAAAATTGAAAGATAATTTGTTAGCCGTGGTCTCTGGTGGTATTATGTCATTCAACACTTCTGTGTAAAATTTCAGCAGCTCATCACACTGAGGGGTTAATTTTCCACAATACCTTTTACATCTAGTCGACACAACATCACTTTAGCATTTTTACATGTAAACACTGCTGTTATATATATTTCTTAGTACTTCGGAGGAGGGTACATTGTATGTCCCTAACTGCAAAACTAAATCAGGGGCCAAAAGTGACTTCCTCTCACTCAACATTGCAAAGTTTTGAAAGTGCAAACATTGCATGAACATGTCTTGAAAATATTTGTCCATGACCTACTTTTTCATCTTTCTTTATATATCAAAGCTGCAGTCAGCATATAAATATACAAACATTTTAAATGTATCATTTGCTGTTTCATGATCTTAGGGGTAGCTGCAGTGAAGTGAATAATATAGATCCAAAAGTCAAACAGTACTCCATCCATCCATCATCTATACACCACTTAATCCTCACTAGGGTTGCGTGAGGGGGGTGGGGTGGGGGTGGGGGGGCACTGGAGTCTATCCCAGCCGACTCAGGGCGAAGGCAGGGGACACCCTGGACAGGTCACCAGTCTATCACAGGGCTACACTTAGAGACAGACAACCAAGCACACTCACATTCACACCTACAGACAATTTACAATCACCAATTAACCTCAACATGTTTTTGGACTTGTGGGAGGAAGCAGGAGAACCTGGAGAGAACCCACACTGCACGGGGAGAACATGCAAACTCCACGCAGAAAGATCCCACCGAGCCACCTTGCAGCCCCAAAAAGTACTCTTTTATGAAAAATAAAATCTGTCCTCTGCCCTCTGCGATGGAAGTTTCCAGTGCTCAGTGATAATATGCAAACCCTTTACATTGCCTACAAAAAGTACCCTCTTGGAGATTTTCCCTTTTCATTGTTTTCAACAATAAATCATGATCAATTTACTTTGGCTTTTTGGACAAGAATTTACAATAAATCATGTCAAAGTGACAACAGACTTTTTTTTTTTTTTTTTACAAAGTAATGTTAATTAATTAAAAATATAAAATGTAAACA